ATAAATTTAAATATATATTAGAAGAAACTAAGCCAATTGAATGTGGTTTTCCCACCTATACCTAGTCCATGGATGTTGATTTTTAATTTTTTTTCATCCATGACAAATAATTAAAGGCAGTGGTATTGGGAATGACATTAGCTTCTGACGGAATTTCAGATAATATTACTGCTGGTGGTATGAATATTTGCAAGGCTTTCCAGAGTCTTTACACTATCTCCCTAGTTTAGAGAGCTATGTGCCTACTCTATTCCCCAAACCTAAATGGACAAAGAGCCATGGATTCATGTTACAGTCTCAATTCACAGGGCACTCTACTGTCCCTTTCATCCATATTTTTGAAGATGAGAGTGAGGATGGATAGTTTGCTTTTGAAAATTTCTATGTTCTGTAGTTTCACGTTCTTACCACAAATTGTACTCTTGGCCCTAGTTATTATGGTATCCTGTGGGAAATTTAAATATGTACTTGTATTTTTGGCAATATTTTAAGTATTGTCATTAGTCTAACCTATAACTTCTGGAAAAATGAAATGTAAAGACCAGTCTCTTATTCCATTATATGTGATAGGAACGAGTTGTAAATATTTGGTATTTATGAAAAATTTTAACTGGTGACACAAACTGTTTATTTCACCTTGTTTGGTATTTTATTGACATTGAACTTTTATCTTTTTTTTTTTTTTTTCAGTTGAAGGACATCTTAGCATCTGGCATTGTTACGTTGGAGTGAACATGATCATGGACTGAATATAACTTTTTTTTTTTTTTGTCTTCTTGAGACAGGGTCTCCCTGTAGCCCCAGCTGTCCTGGAACTCACTATGTAGACCAGGCTGGCCTTGAATTCACAGAGATCCACCTGCCTCTGCCTCCCCAGTGCTGGGATTAAAGGCGTGCGCCACCACACCTGGCCTGAATATAACTCTTTAATGCAGAGGTTGGTAAACTACTCCCTCAAACCTCAAATTCTATTAATAAAGTTTGCAGTGTTACCCAGCCACCATCATTCTTGTATATATTTGTCAATATGAATAGTTGAGTCTGAATGCTAAATATGAAATTGAGCCAGTGATGCTCACCATAAGTCCAGAATATAGTTTTTTAGACTAACATAATTCATGCAAAAAGTATCTGAAATTTCTACTTCATTTTGTGAAGATTGTGAGCAGGGTTGTCCCTCCAACTCATTAACTAGTGACTTTAAGTTCTTATGTTTGCAGTGGCTATCTCCTGAGTAACTCCTAAGTGTCTTCAATTTCCAATTCAGTAAGCATCTATTGGAGTTCTTCAATTTTCCCAGTTCAAAATGTGAGAGCATACATATGTGTGTGAGTGTGTTTGGGAGAGGGTCCACAAAGACATATAAGTGGAAGGTCTTGTCAGAAATTTACAAGGTCTCAAGGATTTGCTAATTTGGAAATTCTATAACTTTCAAGAAATATTTGGGTGTTGAAAAACTTTCCCAGGTTCTTCTCGACCTGAGTTTAACCAATTCACATATCAAAATGGTTGTGCCATTTTGTACATCAGAATAAACAAAGCAACAAAAAACCAACCAAACATTGTCTTTGAAAGAATAAATTTGTACTTTCTTACACAGTGTTTAAACGGGGGATGCAGCTCAGTGGAAGCGTGGGTTGAAGGTTGTGTTTGTGTGTGTGTGTATAAGGCCCTAAGTTCCATTCCTGTCCCTCACCTTATGAAATGGTTAAGATTACCATTATTTGACTGACAGAAGCAGCCTTAGAGGCTGTCTACTGCTTCGGTGCAAGTTGCCAGCTTTAGTTATCCTAGTTCTCCAACAAGGACAGAAGCCTTTTATCTGCACACCCTAACTTTTGTAGTTTCTATTGAATAAATCATTTGACTGTCAGCAAATTACAATGTTGGAAAATTTACATCTTTTTTTTTTTTTTTTTCAGCTCTTAATGGAAACCCGTGGAGATTAAAACTCTTGACAGTATCCACGATATAAAAAAAGCTGACCTAGAGAAGGATGGGAGCAGGATTGAACACTGGACACGTGTTTAGGCAGCCCTTGGGATCACTACTTAAAGTAGAGCTGATTTCAACACTTGGCATAAATTGACAGTGTGACCTTGTGTCAGAAGCAGTGCCACTCTACCGAACAGAGCATCATTTCGCCCTCACTATCAGGCATTCTCTTGTGCAGGGAACAACCCTATGAAACAGGTATTGTTATCACCCCACTTTACAGATGAAGACACAGATTCAAAGAGAGAACAAAGCCAAGGTGCGAGCATTCTCTTGTGCAGGGAACAACCCTATGAAACAGGTATTGTTATCACTCCACTTTACAGATGAAGACACAGATTCAAAGAGAGAACAAAGCCAAGGTGCGAGGCCTCATGCCTGGGACTCAGCAGCCCGCCCCCAGGTGTCAGATATCCCCTAGCGATCCAGAGGGGTACTTGGCGGACCCCGCGCCTGCGCCACGGCTTTCTGCGGAGGGGCACTGGGCGGCCGCCTCCACCTGCAGCCCGCGGAGCGCGCGGCCCCGCACCCAGAGGGAGCGCGCACGGCGGGAGCGCGGCGCACGTGCCGTCGGGAAGACAGGGGCTGCCCGGGCCGCGCCAAGATGGCGGGGGCCGTTTCCATAGCGGCGGCGGCAGGAGGTGTCGTGCCGGGGGAACTTCCTGGTGCTCGGGCTCGGCTTCTCCGGGATCCTGTTGGAAGGGAAACAATGGGGCGCAGGGCACTGCGGTAGCCACCGCCGCCGCGCCGGACCCGCTCGGCCTCCGGAGACTGCCCTCAGCCGCCGCCGCCGGGACCGTCCTGAGGTAAGTTCCCTCCTCTGCCGCTCGCGGACGGGCCGGCGGGGGTCTGGGGCGAGGGCGCGGGGACGCACCTGGCCCCGGGGCAGCCGGACGCCGCCATTCTCGGACCCGGGCACGCGGCGCTGCTCGGCCTGGAAGGAGCCCCCAGCGGCCGACCCCGCGCCCCGTCGCCCGTGGGGGTCTGCGGTGTGATTGGCAGGTGGGCGGGCGGGCGCGCGGGGCCGGCGGGGAAGGGCCGGCGTTGCCGGTAGCCCGGGGGAGGCGGAACCCTTTGGCCTCCTTCCCGGACCTCGGGGCAAGTTTCGGTCCCCGCGGAGACGTGTCTCCCTCGCAAGTTTCAGCGGCGTCCTGAGGGAGTGCAAGTGGGCAGGACGCGGGCAAACTTGGTTCCCGGGAACGTTTGCCTCCTGCCGGGAGAACTTTGGAGCGGGCTTGGGAGGACGGGCCGTGAGAGGGATCTGGAGCCGGAGGTGGTGCAAAGTTTTGCAGAATAGTTTGGAGCTCTGGCTGGTGGGCCGGCCGCGCGATTCTGTGGGGTGGGAGCGATTCTTCGCAGGTGTTTTAATGCTTGCAAATGAGAGAGGTCGCTGATTCATGGCGGGACGTTCCTGTACTTTGAGGACTGGCTCTCTCTGTACTCCTCCTAGCCACCCTGTTTAATCCACAGATGCTTTTTGTTTATAAAATTAGCTACTGTATGGGATAGCTTCGATTGTCAGTTTGACACACTGGGTAGAAGAAACCTCAGTTGAGGAATTGCATCCATTGGCTTGGCCTGAGCAATGTCTGTGGGGCATTTTCTTGATGTTGAGTAATGTGGGAGGGCCCAGCCCACTGTGGGAAGTGCCCCGCCTGGGCAGGTGGGCCTGTGTTTTATAAGAAAGCAGACTGGAGAGATGGCTGAGTGGTTAGGGGCACTTGGCTGCTCTTGCAGAGGATCCGAATTCGAACCCCAGCACCCACATGGCAGCTAACAACCGTCCATAAATTCAGTTCCAGGGGGTCAGATGCGCTCTAAGGCCTCTTCTGACCTCCTCAGGCACTGCACAACAGGAGTGCACTTAACATGCGTACAGGAGATACACTCCTCATACACATAAAATAAAAATAATAAACTATTTTTAAAAAGCAGGCTGAACACAGGCCGTGGTCTGTGCTTCAGCTCCTGCCTCCAGGTTCCTGCCCTGACTTCCCTCAGTGATGAACTGTGACCTGGGGAATGAAAATAAAATAAACCCTTTCCTCCCCAAGTTGGTTTTGGTCAGTGTGTTTATCATATCAGTAGAGAAATTAAGACCATGTACAAAGGCTTAGATAATATTACGGCACTTTTGAATAAAGTGAGTTTTAGCAGATTCTTCTCTGCATACGTCTGTCTGACCCCAGATGTGGTTTTGGAAGACTTTTTTGTGCTTTGTCCCATGTGGATTGGGACAGCTTAGTGAACTGGGCATCACCTAGTCTTTGGAAACAATGCAGCATGGATGAGAAAGAGGTGCAAACACTGAGTATTTTGCTGGAAGAAGATAATTTTAGTCTTGGATCAATTCTTCTATAAAGATAATTAAATCTGTGAGATACACGTTTAATATTTCCTAGCTCAGAAAGTCTGCATAGGACTTTTGACATTGTCCTGGCCAACTCCCTCAAATTGTGAGTCTCTGGGAAGTTTTGTCAGGAGGAATTTAGGGCAAAAGTTTTAATTTTTTTTTTTTTTTTTGAGGTCATCTTAGTAAGAATCCACAGACTAGCATCAAATGAAGTCTTATTTGATTTTCTCACAAGACCCCAAATTAACAAAATATTTTCCAGTTTGCATTTTTTTGTTGTTAAGAAAAATTGTAAGCACGGGGTAGTTAACTACTTAAGAGGAGAATTGATCCTAGGCTATACTTTCCACAGACAGACTAAATAAAAATGGAAAACAAAATTATAGGAATAAAAGTATATATTAACTTTTAAAGGAAATATACATCCTTAATTGCAAGCACAAGTATCCTGAGTTAAAGAGGCATTTTAAAAGCATCATTTACCAGACTTTCAGAGTTTGGGTTCTGACCCTTAGTACTGGTCACTAGTCACTTTTAACTAGGTTGTCCAGCTCTGGCTTGTACTTGGTTTTTGTGAGAATAGCCCTAGCTCTATTAACAGAATTTTGCCATGCAAATAGCACCTAGCATGAACAACTGACTGGTTAAACAAGTAAGAAGTGTCACATTTGGTACTGGCTTTAAATTGATCATCCTCAAGTGTTGTATGAGAACCAGCAGTTCCAGTCTGGGTCTCTAGTGCTAGGCAGTTTCCATTGGCGGCCAGTCTACCATTTATATCAAATTATTAACATTTTGTAGTCTGTAAAGATGGGTGAAAAAGAAGCCAGCAAGTTCAAGCTTGTAGCAAATTGAGAACAAAGTTCCTTTGGTTAAAGACGGAGGAATGTTAAGGCAGTTCGCAACTTTGAGAATTACTACTTCAGATAGAGAGAGAGACATCATTACATTTTCTGGCTTATGTTTACAAGCCTCCTTTAGCTATCCTTGTTCTGTAACTGGTGCAGTTCAGATTACTAATTACCACAGAGGTACAGTTTGTCTTTTCAGTGCAGTTTTTGAGATGTACAGATGTGATCTAATTAGAGAATCATATTTTCCACTTTAAAGGTTGTCTCCCATTTTTACAGTGGAAGTCAATATAAGAATCATAATCTGGCCAGGTGTGGCAGTGCACACCTTTAATCTGAGCACTCGGGAGGCAGAGGCAGGCAGATCTCTGTGAGTTCAAGGCCAGCCTGGTCTACGTAGTGAGTTCCAGTCAGGCCAGCTGGGGCTACAAAAAAAAAAAAACCCCAAAACACAAAAAGGAAAAGAATTATAACTTGACCCTCTAGTACACTTCTACATAGCAGATGAGGATTAGACAGCGTGGGAATTAGAGTGGCAGACTGGGATTCCCAACTGGTCTGGTCTGGCCCATTTATAGGCTGTATCACCTCGCTGTAATTACTTAATTTTTTTGAGGCTTGTTTGTAAAATTGGGGAGAATTACAAATTCACACTTGTTTATTCAGTGAATATTTCTCGAGTGCCATCTGTATCCCCCAACAGCTTGTGCTAGGTAACTAGTTTTCTAGAAGTGGATGTGTCTTTGAAGTAATATAGAGGGAGCTACAAAACCTAAGGGAGTCTAGCTTGGCTTTGTGGAGTCAAGGTTTTTAAGACCTGAACTGAGGAGAAAATGACAGGTGAAAGGGGAGTTAGGATGGGAAACTTAGAGGGTGAGGAAAAAGCATGTACACAGTAGGGGAGCCAGGGAGATTTTTGTGGAGGTTGAATGCATGCCTCTCAGTTCCCTGCATGGCCTGTGGCTTAGAAGAGAAGCCAGGGTACCGTTTTCTGACCATCAGTTTTGTTTCATAGTTATCACTGAAAGAGAGCCAGTCTGCTTGACCCTAAGCACCCAGGCCTGGGAAGGACAGGTGCACTTTAGTGTCTACTTTTTTAACTCTAGGGTTACTTGTTAGTTCCTATAGCTGTAAAACTGGGATAAAATGCTGATTTCTTTGATTTCTTTGATTTCTTTACAGAGATAATGGTTTCAGGATATGTTGATTTCATTTTGATTCTGTTTTCTCTTTTATCAGTGAGAAAACTATAGGAGCAGTCCACCCTAAGATATAATAGTTAACAAATATTTAGGTTGTTTCATTTGCTTGTAAAATGAATCTTTCATCTTAAATGTTTTTGGCTCCAAAGAGATGAGTTAGCTTTGTGATAGAGGTGCACATTGTACCTGTGTCTTGCTGGCATTGATATGTACGTAGAAAAGTTATAATTTTTTCCTGGAATTTTCTTTTCACCGAGTCAGCAAGTAAATTTAAACTGCTAGGGTATTGTGAAAGAATCTCATTTTAAAGCTTCTTAATATATTAATTTTACAGTTAGCCATGTTACAAGTGATGGCAAATTAATATTTTATTGCGGAATGAATGCAATATTTATAAAGTCCCTTGGCTCGTGAAATTCTTTCTTCTGGTTTCTTTTTGTTTGATTTTGGGGTAGTTTAATGTTCAGTAGTATATATGTAGACAAGGTGAAATGAAAATTTGAAAATGAAGTCATAGTAGAAAAAAATTGAATAGGTGTGGAATGCTAGTTTTGGAAATCTATTTCTCTTTCCTTATTCATTTTAAAATTTTTCTAGATTTTTTTTGATACTTTAAAATGACTTTTCTATTTTTTGGTTTTAATTTGGGATTATAAACTTTACTATTCTCTTCATGGTTACTTAAATTCTGGTACATAATTCTGTTATTTTATTGTGTATATATGAGTGTGCATGCATGTGCAGGTATGGGCACATTGAGTGTATGCGGGTTCATGTTTCTCAGGAGCCATCTACCCTGCTTTTTTTTTTTTTTTTTGAGACAGGGTCTCCCTGTAGCCCCAGCTGGCTTGGAACTCACTATGTAGACCAGGCTGGCCTTGAACTTCCAGAGATCCACCTGCCTCTGCCACGGAGTGCTGGGATTAAAGGCGTGCGCCACCACACCCGGCTACCCTGCTTTTTGAGACAGGGACTCTCACTGGGATCTAGGGCTTGCTGATGAGGCTAAGTTGACTGGCCTGGGAGCCCCAGGATCTGCCTGTCTCCCCCTCCCAGGTTTATTTGGACTAGTTTAGTTTACTTCCAGCTGTCATTCCTTTTGGGATTTGGGTTTTTGAGCTTTTATTTGAACGCTTGGTGCTTCTGACTCATACTTAGCTTTATGGCCGCCTCAGTGCAGTTTAGCCTCTCAGGTACTGGTTTACCAGGCAGCCATTTCCTGGAGTAAAGAAGCCCAGGGTGCTATGCTTTCCATTTTGGATTTTCACTCTCTTTTGGACTCAGATTGCCTGTTCCTCCTTTGGATATACTCTTTTCTGTTTTGTTTTGTTTTGTTTTGAGACAGGGTCTCCCTGTAGCCCCAGCTGGCCTGGAACTTGCTATGTAGACCAGGCTGGCTT